ATGTCCTGGCACAGCTCTCAGTGTGCACGTGGCACCCAGGGCTGGGGCTGGCCAGCTTTGCCAAGGCAACCCATTCCTAATAGGAACAAATCCCTGTGGTACCACTAGTGCTGGGAGCCAAGAGGTTAGATTTGCTGTTTATCATGTCAATATTCCCATGTTTGTGCAAGGCTCACTGGGCTGAGCTGGAACGTTGACTTTAGCCAGGCTGAGAAGGCAGCTGGACTTTGTGCTGGTTTATATAACATCCAGAGAATGTTTCACCTCCTTTCAGAGTGGGTTAGGAAGGAAAAAGAATGTAGAGAAAATGAGATTCAACCTAGTTGTGGGCTGGATGTGAGGGGAAGAAGGGAAAATGGCTATAGAATGGCCTTAAGATAAAGGAGGGTAGATCTGGATGAGATATTGTGAAGAAATCCTTCCCTGTGAAGGTGAGGAGGCCCTGCACAGGTTGCCCAGAGAAGCTGTGGCTGCCCCATCTCTGGAAGTTCAACCAGGCCAGGTCGGACAGGGCTTGGAGCAGCCTGGGATACTGGAAGGTGTCCCTGCTCATGGCAGGGGAGTGGAATGAGATGAGCTTTGAGATCCCTTCCAACCCAAACCATTCTGGGTTTCTGTGATGAATCTGAGCTGCCAGTGGTGTCCTGGCTCAGGAGATGAGCTAGCACGGGCTGGAATGATGGAGCAGAGGGACAGCAGGGAAAGTTTAGGAAGGAAAAGACACTCCTTAGCTTTTGTTTGGCTTAATCTTGAAATGATTCCCCGTGTCGGAGAAAACATCAGCTGCACGGGAAAAGCTGAATCACTGGTACAAATCTGGTTACTTGCAAGTGACTCCAGTGATGAAAAAGCCATTTGTGCAGGAGCAAAAGTCCCAAAACAGTTCCCCATGGGACTGTGCCAGAGAGGGGAGCTGGGAGAGGGAAGCTGAAGGTGTTCTCCAGGAAGCTTTGCAGTGCAAACCCCAGCACTCAGTCCTGTGCTGCTCACAGAGCTTCCAGGGATATCCGTGTGGGCACACAGAAAATCCTGAGCTTTTAACTCCTAATGCTTCCAGTTTCTGCTCCCTCTCTGGTTCTGGGGCTGCAGGCTTCCCTCTGGCAGATGTAGCCATGGGATTGGCTCCAGGACAGTTCCCTGCCCTTAATTCCCCTGGCTCACTGCTAATTCTGCTCTGTTAATCACCTTAGAGTCAATTTAAGGTGCTCCACACAAATGGACTCTCAATGTGGGTCACAGCTCAGTGACACCTTTGCTCTTTCTGCATCAGCACCTGGACAGAGGTGGCTCGTCCCTTGCTTTTGGTGATCTTCCCCTTTGTCAGGCCACCAGGGCCATCTGGCAAAACCAGGAGGAAGGAGGGAAGCACCAAATCCAACTTTGCATCAAGCTGAGAGCAGTGATAAATGATGTCTCAGGAGAGCTGAAGCAGTGTCTGATGGTCCCATGGTGCTTTTGGGCAAGGGAAGTTTTGCAAACCAAAATCTTGGTAACTCGGGCAGACATTAGTCCTTAATAGGAGAGGGAAACTGGGCTCCAAATCTGATTCATTTCACACTGGAATGATGTGTATGTGGAGAAGACCTCATGGGCTGTGTTTGAGTAGTGCCTGAACCAACTGAGTTGGGAGAACCCAAAAAACATTTTTCTGTTGTCAGCAGTTGGGCTTTGCTGCTTTCTCCTCACCGTGCTGGTTTTAAAAGCCTGGCTTTACACTTTCAAGATACACAAATGAAACCCTCTCTCTTACTGCAGCACTTGGGACTCATCTCCACATTCAGGAGAGCTTCTCTGAAACAATTTACTAAATATTTCAGTAGAGGCCTTAAAAACTGTTCCTCTCTGTTTAGAAAGACATTGCAGAAATGAAATTGCTTCTCAATCTCTGTCCTCTCTTTTGTGTTTGAATCATTTGTGCATCATGGGGCAGAGCAGGCTCAACATCTCTTTGCTTTTAATTCTTTATTTTATTTTATGCAGACAGAAATGTTCCCAGGGAATGATTTGGGCTGTATGGGATCTCCAAAGATCATCCAGCTCCTGACTTGCCCAGAAGCTCCTGCTGCACCATTCAAGCCCAGACGTTCTGTTACTGTGGAGTTGTTGATTTTCTGCAGGGATGTGGAAGGAGTCATGGTGCTGGAATGCTGCTGGAACACTGCAGCTTCACCATTCCTTGCCCTCTAGTGCTGTTGGATTCCGTTTCACTTGCATTCCTTCACCAAATCAGGTGTTCAGTTTTAGCACTCAGTGAGCTCCAGCAGGATGGGGAGACAAGAATGAGCAAGACATGGAATTGGAACTGGCAGCAGCACTTCGATTTCTGTTACACTTTAATTCCTCCTCCCCAGGGTGATGGTGAGGCACAGGCTGTGCTGCTTTGCTCCATTTGGGGTTGTGAGTGTGGCCTAAAGGTTTGTGGACTTGCAAAGGGTGATAATTTCAACTGGGAGTGATTTACCTGGAGATGCCAGACCAGGAACTGGCTCCAGCTGAGAAACCAACAGCATCTTCGGCTCAGAACTCAAATTTCCAGGGTTTATCAGGCATCTGTAAGCAATAAGGGAACAAAACACACAGAGAAAGTGCAATATGGCTCCTATTGCTTAATGAAGGCCAGGCTAATTGAGGGCAATTAAATTAATCAGGCAAGTGAACCAGCCACACCCATTCCAAGGAGGATGGGTGCAATCGCAGGCAATTACTGTAATTAATCTTCTCATTGTTGTCCCCACAGCCAGCACCTGGCCAAGAAGTTGAGGAGTTACCTAACTGTGCTCAGGAGGATGCTGCAGGCAAAGGTGGTGCTTCCAGGTGAGGATCCTTCTCCTTGGCCTTTTCCCACTCCTTTCTCGAATTTCTGCCGAGCCTCCCTTGACCTGAACAGCCCGGGCTTGACCTCCAAACCTCAGTGGCTGGCAGAAGGTGGAAAAGCTCTGACACAGAATATATTAAAACACATCATTCATCCCAGTGAAACTTACATTTGTTCCCTCCAGCCTCTGTGAGGGGGTAGATAACGCCTTTATTTTATTATATTTTTATTTATTTTTATTATATTTTTATTATATTTTTATTATATTTTTATTTATTATTTTATTTAATATTTTTGTTATATTTTTATTTTATTGTGTTTTATTATATAATTTGTACTTACTTTATTATATTTTATGTTCTGCTGTGGGGGAATGATCCACCTCCTGGCTCACTCTGGAATTCTGGATTAATCCCTTTATAATCTTTACAACATGGTTTCCAAATGGATAAGAAGTGTGTGGCTGAAAATGTGAATGGAATATTCACCTTACAGCAGCTCCAACAATGCCCTGTTCTGTAGAATCCCCAGAACAGAGGGATGGGGTAGGGAGGACTCAGTATGGAAGTGTTTCTATGTGATACTTGAGGAATTTAAGCTAATTTTTCAATAAAATATATATGATAGCATGAAATAACCCAGCATGAACACTGGAAAAAAAATAAGGGTTTTTCAGAGGCTGAGCTTACTGGCTTTTTTTGGGGTTTTGTGTTTGTTTGTTTTTTGGTGTTTTTTGTTTGTTTTGTTGGAGTTTTTTCCTACAGAGTTTTAAAAACCTGTTGCAAGAAGGAATCTCACAAATGTGGCTGTCCCATCCCTGGAAGTGTTCAAGGCCAGCTTGGAGGGGATAAAAATCTGAACCATGAAGCTGTTTCTCCCTACACTGATGCCACACAAAAATTATGTTGTAAAGAAGTTTTCTGAAACCTCTAGAACTGGGCCCCTGCAGACTAAGTAAATCGTGATTTTTTAAAAAAGCAATATGGTTAATTGATGAAACGATCGATTTGTAGCAGTTAATTTTTGTGTAAGAGCCCCCTGTGTGTGCATTAGGGGAGCCTGTTTATTCTGGGATGAAAGGAAAGCCCTAAAAATGGGGTCATTTTCTGCTTTGAGTTCTGTGACACCTCGTGGCACCTGCTTTTGGGCAGGATGAGTTTGCCTATGGAGCAATTCCTGTGGACTCTGGCAAGCTCCAGTGTTGTTTTTAGGGGACAGATGAGGATAATCTGGCCATCACTCTGTCTCCTGACCTGGGACAGCCTATGAGTTTCCTTTGTCTGCCCCTCCACCTGATGGGACAGGTTTCAATGGGTTCATTTCACAGAATCAGCTCTGTTAAAGCCTCTGGGCTGACCTCAAGACAGTTTTGACGTAAAATCCACTGCTGGTGTCGACCCAAAACCCACTGAAGCATTGGATGGAGCTGTGGGTTGGAAAAACTGCTGCAAGGTGCTCACCACACCCCAGGATGAGCCATAAATGGGCACAAAATGGACTTTAAGAAAACTGTAAAATCTTTCTATGAAGTTTCCACAACAATTTTGTTCTCAGCTGCCTCCTCAGACAGTCTGGAGGCTGAGTTTGAGTGGCCAGACAAATCTTTGACAGGAAAATCTTCTTTCCTTTGGTGTTTGTTCCCAGGATGAGGGGAAGCAGCAGCATTGAACCTGAGATTGTGAAGGCTAATAAAAAAATCCATATGTGCTATTAAAGTCAATGGTATCAAAGTAATTCCACTAATTTGACCATGTGAAGTGGAAAAAGGACTTTCCACACTCGCTGGCTAGTGTTCCTCCATAAAAAGCCCCAGGAAAACCACGGAAAGCCATAATAAGCAAGTCTGATCTCAGGTCCTTTTTTAGTTTGCTTCCACAGTGTTCTTAGCCAAGTTCAGTGTTCTTGAACTGCTAAAGAAAACCAGTTATAAGGCTAAATCTGAATCTGGAGCTTGAATCACCCTTTATGTCAAATCCTACCCTGACTCTTTACAATTCTGAATTTGAACATGTTTTCAATCTCAGAACAAAACCTGGATGGTGATATTCCCACCCCAGAAATCTCCTGACTTGCTTAGTTGGCATCTCCATGCCACCTGCTTGTGGGTTTGTATGGCAGAAGGCACTCCCAAGAGGGAACAAATTCCCTGAGCACCAGTGACTCTGGAAAAAAACACATAAAGCACTTGAATGGTCAACAAATAGTTATGATTTTATTGAGTGGTAGAATACACAAGGAAAAAAAAAATTGCTCTTTTTGAGTTACTGGATTTTTTAATATTTTTCTTTTTTAAGAATTAAAAATAAAATAAACCAGGAGCTGTCCTATAAGGAATATGGGTTTGCTGTTTTAACATTGGACATGTTAGAGCTTTGTTATGAGGGCTTTCTTGGGAAAGCATCTACTAAGGAAAAGGATGTCTTTGCCCTAATGAAGATCTCAAATCCAGCCAGAGAGCTCAGCCCCTGCAGCAGGAAATTATGGTGCCTGGACGTGGGTCCTGACCAGCCTCCCAAGCCCTATTTCAGTGAGCAGTTGGGATCTAGACTGCTCGAATCCAGGCCTGGAGGGAAACCTCCAAGAAAAGTCCCCTAATTCCCACTGTGCTTCTCCCTGAAAACTGAGGGCAATGAGTCCCTGCTCCCAGAGCTGTGGGAGGTGAGGGCTTAGTGTGAGATCCAGCTCACTCTGAGGTGCCTGTGGATGTCGCCAGTCCCTGCCACCCCCTCTGAGCCTCAGCTCTGCCCTGTCCTGCCCTGTATCTCCAGCACAGCCCTCCAGGCAGATTCCAGCCATGCTGGGAGATCATGGGACACCTGATTCCAAATTTCTCCTCCTTCGGCCCTCTGTATTTTTTCTCCCACTCTCATGCATCCCTCCCCAACCCCTGACTTTCCCAAACTTCTCCCATCTCTCATTCTCCTCCCAAAACACACCCAGAGACTTCTCTTTGCTGCAGTTTGTGCTTTTCTCTGACGTCCTCAATCATCCTGGTCCTCCAGCTCCTACTCCAGTCCCCCACAGTGAGTGGGGAGAACAAATCCAGTCCTTCCCTGGCTGTTGTTTGATTCTCTGCCCTGAAACCACCTCTGTGTTTCCAGCTCCCCATTTCCATGTGGTGTAGCTGGATTCAATAAACCCTGGCAGGCTTCCAGCACCCCTTACTGGCTTAAGTTTTTTTTTCATACTTGTCTCATTACAGTGCAAATGAATGACCTTTATCAAGAGAGAAAATGGACAAGATTTCACCTCATTATTGTCAGATAAACTGGTTAGTTAAGAGTCCTCAGAAAGCTGGGCAAGGCTGTGCTGAAAATTCTGTGTTTCGGTCATTATGATGGCAGATTTTAACCTGCTCGTCTCTCACTCATTGCTGCCTTGGAGACAAAGCTCATGGGACGTTTATATCCATCTACATTTCCAGTCTTACTGAAACTTCTGGAATATCTCCAGATAAAACTAATTTTACTTGGAGAACAATGATAACAAAGCAGATTGATCCAGACTTCCAGGGCTCTTTGTCAGTGATCTCTTTGACGTGCTCCAGTTAAAGAGTGGAGAGCTTCTAGAATCATGGGATGGTTTGGGTTGGAAGGGACAATAAAGATCATTCAATTCCACCCTCCTGCCATGGAGGACCTTCCCTAGATCAGGTTGCTCCAAACTTCATCCAACCTGGCCTGTAACACTTGTAGGGATGGGATGTCAACAAGGAATCAAGGCACACAGAAAACAACTCAAATTCCCAGATAGCTGGAATTTTTGGAAGTAGAGGAAAAAGCTACATGAGCCAGAGAGGCTTTGCCTGGAAAAATAATAAGTTTTTTTCTGGGAAAAAAATGCCCATTTGCCTAAGAGCTGATCTTTTCCCCAAGATCAACCCAAACGAGGAGAGGAGAGGAGAGGAGAGGAGAGGAGAGGAGAGGAGGACAGGGCTAAGGAGGAAAATATTTGCTCTGGAAATAAGACAAAAAACCCAAGGGCTGTCAAAAAAATAAGCTGGACATTTAAAAGCTTTCACTGTACTCATGGTCATCCTTGCTGGAGCACAGTGAGGTACATTCAAGGATGGGGTGCACAAATTAAGGCAATACTGATGAGGTTAGCCAAATTCCAGGCTAGCTCCTTACTACCTGCCTGGAAAATCACAGCATCCGGAAGGATGTTATTTCTGTAGCTTTTCACCCTAAACATTCATTCCTCATCTGTAAGCAAAGATAAAATCTCATTTTATTCTCCAAAGACTCAGGGAGGGAATACATTATTTTTTTTTATTTTTTTTGCAATGCTGGCCACAGTCCCAGAGTCATCTCTGTTCATGATGAAGCACCTTGCTGATTCTGTGGGATGCTGCTAGGATTCAGGGATTTAATAGAGAAGATCCAGTTTCAGAGCTGAGGGAAGTAATGAGGCGTGCAAAGTAACCAGAGTCTCCCTCCTGGTGTTTCCAGGGAGCACCGAGGCAGATGATGGTGCTGGATGGAGGCTGCTTTTGGAACCACAGCCCTTTGTCCTAAACCAAATATCTCTTCTGTAGTGTTGCAGCTGAACCTGAACCCCTGGTTTATTTGGGGTCAGGTACCAGCTCCAGAAACACCTGGGAGCTTCAACCATAAGTTGACAGCCCAATCAGCCATTAGTGAATTTTGGTAATTAGGCGCTTGGCAGAAAATAGAGTTTTAGACAACTTGTAAGAGCGTTCTCCAAAGCTCTCACATCAGCAGCACAGCCTGGGCAGGGCCGATTCCAGCTGGGATTATCTGTTTGAGCAGCTCCTCCTTTTTCAGGGAGAACTCCTTTCCTTCTGTGATTGTTCCCAAGGGAAGGGTGAACAGTGCCATGGCTCCTGGCCTCGGGCAGGCAAGAAGAGAGGATCGGTGCCTGCCAGGCATGTGCAGACAGACAGGACTCTGGGTTTCTGCAGGGCAGGATGGTGAAAAGGCCATTTGTGGTTCCCCTGGAGCACTGAGGAGCAATTAGCACTTTTTGCTTGTGTGATTGTTTTGGTCTTTTGTGTGATTTGCTGGTTATTCGATGTGTCAGACCTGCTCCTCATTAAAAAGAAAACAGAACCTCTTCTAAAGGAGATATTTTGCTATTTAAACCCAGAAATCTACAGAGCCCTGGGAAGAGGGGCTGGTCCTAAAACCATGGCTATGTTAACCCTGCTATGGTTAGGGGTTAGCTGTGCAGGGCCAGGGTCACAGCTTGCACTAGAGGGATGCTATGATTAGAGAAGGGAAGGAGGCAGGGAAAGGAGAGAGCTGGGTTCTGGACAAGGCTGGAAGCACAGTCCAGCAGCTGCTGGTCCTGTGATTCCTCTTTCACACAAACATGGGAAAGAGGCATGAGCTGACTGGGGTGTCCTTGGATTGCAAGCACTCACTGAGGCCTAAAAACCCTTAGGTGTGAATCAGGGTTTGTGTGGTTTAGGCAGAATGAGAACGAATAATGTGAAAAGAAGGTCAAGGTCAGATATTAATGCCCCTTTTATAAACATTCCTCATCATCCTCTCCCAACCTTCCCTTCTTTGCACTGCTGGCCTCGCTTTCCACTCTCTGGAGCACATTTTAAATCTGCCTGGATTAAAACAGGTTGTCTGGGCCTGAACCAGAAGCAGCTGACAAGACAGAAACTCCTCTCCAACCGTGGATTTAGACAGAGATCTGAGAGTAAAAGACACAAGTTGTGATTCCCCCCCATGCCCCCCCATCCCTCCCACTCACTCACACCTCCCCAGAAAGATTCATGATCACTTATGGAGATAAGCATCCAGCCAGAGATCTCCAGATTTCTTTAGGGACCTGTGGGAAGAAAAGGAGAAGTTTGGGAATCTTGCTTCTGTCATGTTTTTCCTGCAGAGAAGGCTGTTACTGAATTTTAATATCAATCATAAAACCCACCCTCTGTCAGTGTGAAGCCATTCCCCCTTGTCCTGTCACTCCAGACCTGTGCCCAAAGTCCCTCTCCAGCTCCTTTGGAGCCCTTTTAGGCACTGGAAGGAGCTGTGAGTTCTCCTGGGAGCCTGCAGGCTTTACTCTGCTGTGCCTTGGTGCTGCGTGGCCCTGTCCTAACTGGATTTGAGGACAAAAGCAGGTCTGGAACCAGCTCTCCTGCCATTGTGGCCACGCCACTTTAATCTGCCCATGTTCAGAGGGGTTTGTGCTGGAGGTGCCTGGACTGCAGAGCTTTCTCATGTTCCCTGCCATGAATTATTCCCCTCGGAGGAACTGAGACAGCAACATTATCACTGAGGCTGCTGACAAGGACTGTTAGACTGGTCTCCAGCTCTGCCTGTAGGGAATTGCCTGTTGCTGCTGGCAGAGCTCTCAGGAGACACAGCAGGGGCTGTAACCTGACCTGTTTCCCTTTGATTCATCTCACTTTGCAGCAGGAGATCTGCTGGCAGCTGTCAGAACAGGGTGGTATAAAAGCCAGAATCATTAAGTGTGGAAAAGCCCTCTAAGATCGACCCCAGCTCTGTTGAGCCACCATGACCCCAAATGCCATGATCAGGTTTGTACCCATCTAAAGGTCAAGTGTTTGGTACTTTGACAGCAGCAACACAAATTTCTGAAGGGTCTGCCATGTCCTGGATCCTCTGTGCTAGAAAATATCAGGTGTCCCTGGAAAAATGAGCTGCAGGTGGGATCAGGAGGGCCTTACCCAACAATGTCTATGAATGCTTTCCCGAGAGGCTTCTCCTCATACTGGACTCCATACTTGGCACATAATGACTTCACCAAAGGCTTTACCTTCCAGAAGTTGTGCCGTGGCATTGTTGGAAACAGGCTGGAGAGGAGAGAGAGGAAACAAAGCTGAGAAAACTCACAAGACAAGCAACAAGGGATGGGCATTAGGGTTTGCATCCTCAGGGGCTCATTGTTGCTGCCTCCTCCTCAAGCTGGAAAGGGAGGCACAGAGACACCCCTGCTTTACACTCCTCTGTCTCAAGGCGGTGGTGAAAACTGATTTTCCTGTCATGCCTCAAAGAAAAGCCATGCTCAGGACACACTGAAATCCAGTTTGTGCAAGAAGGGATACGAGTGAAATGAGAGGGCAGCAGGAGTGAGGGAACAGCCTCAGAGATGGCCACTCATTCCTCTGGGAATAGTTGTTTCCTGCTGAACTGAATTCCCAGTGACCTGCTTTTCCACTTCTGGAAGCAGGTAAAGAGGGACTTTGGGGGCACCTTGCCCTATGCTCTTCCATGGAGATTTCTTAAGCTGGCTCCCAAAACAGCCAGCCTCACCCTAAAAGCTATTTCTTTTACATTTGCTGTTGCCATTGGCAACAGACTGTCCATATGGCCCTGTTTTCCATATTTTTTCTAGAATCTGGTACCCAGCATCCTACACAGTCCCACTCTCTATAAAACACTGGAGTGCTTTAGGGGAGGAGAGTTTTCTGAGGTGGATGCTTGGGATTTGAGCCCACAGCTTTTGTAACTGGTAGATGCATAATGACAACTCCTAATTAAACCCTAAATTAAGGCTGTGAAAGTGAAAGCTTTGGAGAAAGAGAGAAAAATGTCATGGCTGTAATAGAAGCAGACTATCATGGAATGGTTTGGGTGGGAAGGGATTGTAAAGCTCATTCAGTTTCTGCCCTGCCATGGGCAAGGTCACCTTCCACTAACGCAGTCTGCTCCAAGCCCCATCCAACCTCAGCCAGAGCATTTCCAGGGATGGGGCAGCCACAACTCCCACACCTGCATAGTCTGAAACTCTGTTTCCTTGGCATACAATCCTTCCCCATGGGATAATTCCCTCCCCTGGGCTGTGACAAGCTGGCAGTGCCCTCACGATGCTGGCTCTGTACTCACTGGTGCTCGATCTGGAAGTTCAGGTGCCCGGTGAACCAGTCGTTGAAAAAGGACTGCTCAATGTTGCAGGTTGCTGCTATCTGCCAGGGAGAGAGAAAACAGCGAGTGTTAGGGATGGCTCATCCCAAAACCAGGGTGAAATTCCTCTTCCCTGAACTCTGGGAGTGCAGAGCCTGCCATGCTGGGCCTGCTGGGTGCAGCAAGGGGAGTTTTAATCCTCCCTCAGGGCTTCAGGTAATCAAACTCTCACTGGTGGTGAAGTAATGGAGCAGCCCAAGCCCAGATTCCTAAATCTCAACCTCTCTCATTGGAGATCAGAGGGTTGACAACAGTACCAAGGTGGAAAACAGGAGGAAAATGCATGGACACAAAGCTTCCCCATCCCTGTGTAGTTATTGCCCAGTTTGCCTTAAGTCAATATTCTGAGAATATTTCTTAGGTATTCTTGCCATTAATGATCATAAAAATAGATAATTTTTTCTTCAAATTCTTAAAATTCAACCAAACTTTTGATTAGGTTTCTCCCTCACACATTTTACTTGGATTTGCAGGGAGATAGAACTGCCAGAATATCAAGAGTACAGTTCTAGAATAAAGAAGAGGAAAGGGAGCACTCAATTACTCATCTTCCAGAACGAAAGGACAAAGGCAAGCTCCAAAATGAAGAGTCAATATTTTTTCCTCAGCTATTTTGTTGCTGGGATCTACAGGCCTGTGTAGATCTGTGGCTAAAACACACAGGAATGCTTTTTGGATTTGCAGTCACGTCCAGCTTCAGTCACCACAGTCAGCCCTTCGCTCAACTTCCCTCCAGGAGCAGGTAGCCTTTTGATTGTCAAAGTAATTGCAGAACTTTGGAATTCCATGTCTTTCCCCAGCATTGCTGCTGGCTCTGGGACGAATATCTTTATGGGAGAAGTCATGGACAAGACACTCTATCCTAGTAAGGAGTGGTGGTATCACTGGGGGTGGTGGTAACTCTCATACTCTTTGAGTAAATCCCATTTTGGGGTGAGTCAGGGGTGTTTTCCCTCCTCCCAGTTACCTGGGAGCTCAGCCAGTCTCTGTGCTTCTCAGAATCAATTTCCATTGGAATGTGATTCATCTGGGTGACCCACACAAACCAGTGACTCTCCAGAAACCTGCAAAACCAAGAAAAATCATGACAATTTCTATCGGATATGAGGACATCAGGTAATTAGAGTGGGGTTTGCAGGGAGCAGCAGAGACTTGGATAGGTGTTGACAGGGAATTGCCTGGAATCATCCTTGTTTGCAATTTTGCTCTTTTTTTTTCTTGCATTATGAGTTTCATCAAAAATTTTGGGAATAATGGGCTGCTTGTGATAAGTTTTCCAGCTTGATTTCAGTTTTGGAGCATGCACAGAAATACTTCCACAGTCAGCTGGGAAGAGAGTAAGATGAGGCACTCTGGGAGGGTCCAGCCATGACCAAAGTGGGGTCAGCAGTGTGTGAGAATAAGGAATGATGAGGAAAGGCAGGAGAATCCTGACTGGACCATCATGGGGCAGGGGAAGATGCAGGAAGAGTGCCAGAGGAGCTGGAACTTGGTGATGCTGACAGGGAAGTGAAGTAGTGGGACACAGCAGAGCTGAGGCCAGGCTCAGACAGCACTGGAGGGATGGGAGAGCAGCAGGGATCCCCTACCTGACAAATGTGAGGAGACACAGGGATCCCAGGATGCCGTAGAACGGGATGAAGGTGATGAAGTAGCGCAGGTAGTAGCTGATGGCCCAGGCCAGGTCCTGGGGGGATAGAGAAAACACCAGGTATCACTTTGCCCATCTTGGATAATGTGTCCTTGCTGATGATGTGGGGAACACTGGGTAATTCCTGCCTGCCCCCTGGCCTCCCTCTCTGCTCCAGTTTCCAGCCAGACCCCGTAGGGATGGAGGGGATGTTTCACTCACCGCCCAGAACCTGCGCTTGATCATGGTCGAGATGATTTGGATTTGGAAATACACAGGGATGAGCAGAGGCGGGAAGACTGCAAGGCAAAGGGAAATGGTTTGGCCATCAGAGAGGTGGGAAGGTGTGTGACATGAGACTGTTCCATGGAACTGGGAACGTGCAGTTTTCCCACAGAGCCTCTCACATGGAGGTTATTCCCAGCCTAAGCTGTTTTACATCCCCTTGCTCTACAGGGCAATGCTCCAGGTGCTTGGATATCCCTGAGCTGATTTTGGGACCTGCAGAGGGTCCTGAGGAAGGGTGGGATGAGCTGGGATTTGAGGAGTTGCTTTGCTGACAGAGTGAGGGCTGGAAAGGACAAGTGGCATTCCAGGAAAAGGGAAGAGAGGAGGGTGGATACTCACTGAGGAAGAAGTACTCGTGCTGGTGGTTGTAAGGCAGGTACTTCAGCTTCTTCTTGCCATACTGCAGGACACAAAGAGACAGCTCAGCCTGGGACATTCTCAGATAAAAGCAGATTCTCTGCAATAATTCTTAATTTATTGACCAGGGAGTTTTGACTGAATTCCCACCAGCAGGTAAAAAGAGACTTGGTGTGATTAAATGTCCTGACTTTGTCATTGTGTTAGGTTTTTAAAGATAATTTCTATTTACTTGATGAAATTTTGATGCACTTCACCTTCTGCCATTCCTGTCTGGAAGAAGAGCTGCCAGCACCTCCATCTTTATTAATATGAATGTGACAGGCATAAAGTCTGATTTTTTGGAAGGGAAAGCTTGTAACACAAATAAATCAGGCACATTATTCCCTCTGGGCTGAGCTCTGCAAGGCTGTGTGCTTGGTGTCATTTGGAAAAGGATTTTATACCAATGTGAGAATATTGGGATAGACTGATTCGGGCCTAATATCAGATATTTTGAGGTGGAAATCCAGTTTTCCTTGTTATCACAAATGTTTAGGTTTTCTTTTAAGTAGTAGAACCATGGTCTGCTTTCTCAAGAATACAAAATCTGGCTGTGAAACCATATTTAATGTTGTATTTCTCTGTGTTATCTTTGCTGCTTGTCCATTTTCTTGGTATTTGGTTTCTAAAACTAGAAATCCTTGTTCCATTGTGAAAAACACCATGATTTAGTGCTTTGGGTAGGCTTTTATAAACAGGCAGTAAATATTTTGGCTCTGGAGGGGTGGATTGAATTAAAATTAAAATCACTTGATGCTGGAAGATATTTGCTATGGAAATGGAAGGTCAGTTTTGAAATGTTCCTGCTGGAGTACTGAGGAACACGGTATTTCCCCCTCACGTTAGCACTTAAAGCCAGCAGGATAAAGTGGCCTTTAGTGGCTTTTTGCTTTCTCTCCAATCCCATCTGTGTTATTTTTCCTGAGTTAACCCAGGACACTTTCTCCTGTGGTCAGCACAGGAAATGGATTGGGAATTAGTAGTCAATGCTGCTCCTCAGCCCAAGGATTGGCTCCAAACTCCTGTCAGACGAAGTAGCCAGATGAAACCCCTGGATTAAGCATTTCCTTTCTAGCATTCCTGGAAGTCCTGCCTGCGTAAGTCATAACAATGGGAGCCAACTCCTGGATTTGCGCAACCACTCTCCGAGGCCCTCTCGGACAGTAGTTTTCCATGTTTTCCCTGCTTTTCCTTACCTCAACGGGCTGCGTGTCTCCCAGGACAAAAATGTGCAGCATGTTCACATCTGGATCCTTCTGGAAGATGTTGGGCTTGGCGTGGTGCTGGAAGTGGCGATGGTTCCACCAGTTTGCAGAGGCACCCTGGGCAAGGAGAACACAGAATTTTCATCCATGGAGAGCTGCTCCCAAGGTGGGATTACCCAATCATTTATAAACTAAAGTGGTGCGACTCGGACTGTGGCCAAAGTGGGATTTGCTTTGGAAAGAGCAGCAAGCAGGGAGTGGTGGAGTTGTTGGTTGCTATGAGACTGCTGCTTCCAGTGGGATCCCTAAGGATCATCCATCTTGAAAGAACACGGAGTAAATACACTCTGAGCAAGTTACTGTGTCTTCCCAGAAAATCCTGAAATGGTTTGGGTTGGAAGGGAATTTAAAGCTCATCCAGTCCCAAACCCCTGCCACGGGCAGGGACACCTTCCACTAACCCAGGCTGCTCCATGGGCAATGGTCACTGACTTTTTTTGTGCCTCTGCTCACTCTGGGAAGGTTGAGAGCCTCCCTTACCTACTCTGCCACAGCCAGAGTAGAATACCCAGAATTCCCTGGCTCCATAATTCCCTTTACCTTCAGGTGTCCAATGACAAACTTGTGGACGATGTGGTTCCAGGAAGACTTCTTAAAGACAGAGAGGTGTCCAAAATCATGTTGCAGCCAACCTGCCTGGGCCTGGGATGAGGGGAAATCAAATAGTTAGGAAGCTGTTGGGAATCAGAGCTAAGCAGGAAAGAAATGGAGATGGAGGGCATGTTGGGAGTGTGAGAAGATCTCTCTTTGTTACCTGGGAAGTTGTAAGGATGCAGGCAAGGATGAGGGTTGTGATCCAGCCAGTCCCGAAGTAGGAAAGCATAAGCAAAGCCAAAACTTCCATGGCAATGATGTGGCCCAGGTAAAGGGAGAAGAACAAGGGGCTGGCTTGGAACAGGTTCATGTCCTCCGCTGTCTTCCGCAGGGTCCGGAAATCCTCCACCAGCTGGGACTGCAATAGGACAGGCAAGAGCAGGGTGAGGCTTGGAAGTGAGCCTGGATGGATGGATGGATGGATGGATGGATGGATGGATGGATGGAGGAAGGATGAGCTCCATCCTAAGGACCCTGGCTCCATATTCCAGCTTTTTGCCCTGTATTCCTATGAATAAACTGGCCAGTCTGAGCCCACATCCTGACCTTTTGGACCTGGAGCCAGGAGAGTAATCCAAGCTCTGTTGAGTGTCACATCACCTGATGGCTCTTCTCTGAATGAATTTCCTAAGCACTAAGGAGAAGCCAGAGCAAGAGGGAATTCAGTGCTATTGTGCCTAATTCCAGAGCTCTATAATGAGCACCCACTATCACCCATCATCCATTCAATCCAAGGGCCAGCTCCTGTGCAGCCATCCATGAGGAGCATTCCTGGGTCACTGGGGGCCAGCGCTGTCCCCTCTATTGTGAGTGACACAGATATATCACAATCATGGCCAGCCACAAAGAACAGGGCAGGATTGAGTTTCCTGGCCACAGCCAGTTGTGCTACGCTCTGGGCCTGAATAATGGATGAACAGGGATACAGAGCTGCCCTGAGGATGGGCAGTGGCTGCTGCTCCTTAGCAAGGCCACCAGAATGAGACATCTGGGGACTTGTGTTTTGGAGCTTGGTCACCAGCAACGGAGCAGCAGAAGGGACCACAGTCACCAGAGGCTGGTGTACATTTCCCACTCTATGTGTCTCAGTTCCCATTTCCCTTCAGGACGGGCTCAGTCCAGCCTGGGTGCCTGGAATGGGATGCCAGAAATTGGCTGTTGGTGGCTCTGTGGGAAAGAAAAGGTTTGTACAGCCAAAAGTGTCACCTCCTTTCCACATATATTTGAATCCATGATAGAATAGAAAGTAGGGCTACATGGAGATGTTCAGTCACTGGGAATTTCTCTCCCTCTCTGGAGAGCATCCCAAGAGGGAAAAAAATGTGGGAATAACCACTCTGAACCCCAGCTGAGGAATAAATACTCACATTTTTGTCTCGGTCCTGGCTGGGCTCCCCTGGAGCGAGTTCTCCAATAAGCAGAGGCTTAAGAAACTTCTGCACCAAGGTGGGATTGATATGGAAGGCCTGGAATGCATCCTGGAGTGGAAACAGGAGGAACTGTGTGAGATTCAGGACTAAGATGTGTTTCCTATTCACTGTGTCATTCCCACCCACCTCCAGCAGTTGTGGAACCTGTGGAAGAGGGGGGCCAGGTGACCTCCAGCTCTGTGATCACTTTTTGGGACATTAGTTCCACTAAAGCCTGATGAATTTGCTGTCCCGGGAATGGTGAGACCTGGGATGGCATCCAGCCATATGGTGAAAGGCACCTCAAGAAATTCTTTCTAAGCAACTAAATACTTAAATCCTGTTAATTCCCTTAGAACGTAGGCAGAGGGGAAGTTGTGCAAATCCCTCCTAGGATATAAATACCCTTGGAAAATCTGCTCCTGGAGGCAAGTCAAGAGAGGGGCTGAGTCTGGTGAGTGAAGCTGGATGTGATTGCAAACACAAAAAATATTCCTGGGTGTTTTGGTCAGGTCTGGCAGTCCCAGTAGTAAAACAGCTGAGGAAAGAGTGGTGACTTTTCAGAAAAATAATGCCTTGTCTGTGGAGTCATTTTGATCCTGGCATTCATGAGTTTATCTGGCTCTTCTTTTTCTCTATTCCTTCCACTTTCCACATATTTTTGTCTGCCTGTATCCCACAGGTGCCTGATGCTCATAGTGAGATCTTGGCCAGATCCTTTCACATGGCACAACTGGAATTTTAACACCAAGGACAGCTGCTGGGACAGAAAGCTGACCCAGATCAGAAACCCTCACTCTGTCCTTGCCCTTTCCTCACTGCACAGAACTGGAGTCAGCTCATGGAATTCACCTGGGAGAACAGGAAAGATTGGTTCCATGAAGTGCTAAGAGAATATGGAAAAAAAAATCACTAAAAGCAGGAGTCAGGAGAACCATGCCTCCAGCATTTCCACCTTTGTCCCATTGCCTAACAATTGTGGGGACCAACTAATATCTCCCTCCTGGCTCTAAAGAGAAAGGGCAGACAGAAAAGTGCTCCCTGTGTCCAGCTGACCTTTCTGTGAGCTGCCCTCCATTAAAAGTCTGGAGTTAAAAAATGCCAGGCAACGACCTAAAACCCAAAGTCCACCAAAATCAATAGAAACTTGGACCCATAAATGTGTCACTGAAATGTTGACTCTGGTGCCTTGTTTCCCTCTCTGGAACAATTTGCAAAAGATGTGAAAGAGGAAGGAAAAACAGAATGAGGGGGGAAGTGAATAGCTGACTGTGCCTATTGCAAGGCTCTGCAGTTTTGGGTGAAAAAATAAAGGGGGGAAGAAAGGGAAACAGAGGGTGACACATAAGAAGCATTAAAAAATGTTGATTCAGTGTTATTTTAACTGCTGGCAATAAAAAAGTATTTGGAGGTCTGATTGGGTGCTCACTGCCTGGAGATCCTGCAAATGATGGAAGGATTGGATTTTTGTTACATATATCTCATGAAGCTCTTGTACTAATAGGTCCAAAATATAAGATAGCACCTGAATTTTGGAATTGTTCTCACTTCTGTACTGCAGGAGATAAAAAGCTTAAGGTAAAAGATAATCCCTGGGAAATGCTGTGTGATATTGGCACTTGACCTCACAACTTTGTGATCTACTGACCAAATAAGCCAAAGTGTTTTATGGGATGTGGGAATTATTCCAGCTGCTTTTGGTGAGAAAAAAAAACTTTGTATAATTGAGACATGAGCTGTACTTGAGCATTGGGAGTGCTTAGAGCAGTCAGCACAAGGATTTTCTTTTACATCCCTGCAACATCTCCACCTCTGGGACAGAGACACTGCAGTGTCCCTGCCTTTGTGCTCTGGGCATGAGGTGACCGCAGAACAGGCTGGCCCAGACTCGGATGTTGTGTTTAAAAAAATATTAGAGACCCATGGAATGGTTTGGGTTGGAAGGGACTTCAAAAATCCTCTCATTCCACTCCCTTGCCATGGGCAAGGATACCTTCCACAGACCAGGTTACTCCAAACCCCGTGCAACCTGGCCTGGAACACTTCCAGGGATGGGGGAGCCACAGTTTCTTTGGACAACCTGTGCCAGGGCCTCCCCGCCCCCACAGGGTAGGATTTCTTCCTAAAATCCAATCTGAACCTACACAGGGTCAAGGCCAAGCCTTCCTCCCCCTGAATGAGAGAGGGTTTTCTGGGTGCAAATGGTTGTTCACCACAGGGAAGCTGCAAAACTGATGCCAATCCTGGTTTAGTGCTCGGAGAGGTGATTTAACAATTTCAGAACGTTTTTAAGGCCATGCCTTCATGGAGTGTGGGATGCAATGTAGGGTGGGGAGGTGGGAGGAGAACCAGCAATCCTGGAATCACCAACCTGTGTTTCAGCCTCCCTTTCAAGGATTCCAGACAACTGCAGTAGCAGATGCTTTTTGGTTGCTAATGGAGATATTTGAGTTAAATTCTTGGGGATAGGAGTCTAACTCCTCCTGTTTCAGCAGCTCTGTGTTTAAGCAGTTGAAAGGAAAACCTGGCCCATCTTTCTGAGGGAGAAAGCTATTCATTCAGAGGATTTACTGAAAAGGGACAGAAGGGCCAAAATGCATCAGTGCTTCAAGGAAAAGAATGAAAAATAACTTCAGGATGCAGGGAAATGGGGCCTGATGGAAAGGGAAGGCTCTGCCAAATAATTTTGTCGCACATGGAGCCTTCTCCTCCTTGCTAAGGTGTCAGGAGCCATGGGAGACCAGCAGTTCCTGTTCCTGCTTGGTCTCTGCACGTTTTGGGAAGAGCTCTGAGGAAGCTTGGATTTCATAAACACACCCTGAGGGAAGAACATGCTCTCTGGATGCACTTCTGAGGAAGGTGGTTTTGAGGGGAACTCCAGACAACAAACAATTTATTTCTAATTTGTTCCTGTTTCAAGGCTGGGTTCTTTTTTGTTGTTGTTTTTTGGTTTTTCACATCTTTTACACTGCTGAAACCTGAGATGTGGCTGAACCCAGTGAAGGAGCAGCTGGAGCAGCAGTAAATGGTTTGCTGCTTTTTTTTTTTTTCTTTTCTCTTTTCTGTAACAACCTGTAACCAAATTCTCCAGAGAATTTTCTCCTGGGGAAAAAAAAAAAAAAGCTAAAAAGCTCCTTGTTTTAGAGCCTCCTCACAGGAGCAACTTTGAGACACAGCCTGGCCTCTGTTTAACCCTCCCTGTGCTTGGCTGCGTGACTCTGCATGTCACCAGCTCCACACTGGAAAAGGGGAGATTTGGGAAACTTTGCTCCTGAATTCGGGGCTCGAGGCATGGCACAAGCAGGAGACAAAGGCAAACCAGCAGGATTTAAGCAGAGCAATTCCTCTCAACCCATCTTCCGAACACCACGGCTCCAGGGGGGGACCAGCATCAGCTTGAACCAAGCTGGGAGCAGCGAAAGGGCTGAGCCAGATGTTGGGGAGATGGGGACAGGGGACAGCAGGCAGCTGGCTCCCTTCAGGGAGGGAAGGAGCTGTCAGAGGATGCTGCTGGAGCCGGGAGAGCCGCGGGGGTCGGTCCTTACCGTGGCATCTTCTCCGGCGCAGTGGCTGATCACTCGGTGGCCCCCCGGGTGCCTGTTTGCCCACTTGGTGACATTATAAACCTTGCGCTCTATCACCAGCCACTGGTCCGTCTTCAGGTTGTGCTTCTGGATCTCCTCCCAGGTGTAGAAGCGGATCTGCGCCGCCGGCTTCCCCGAATCCCCCCCTTGCTCACCCCCTTTCCCCATGGGGCCACTCGATTCTTCGTCTTCTCGACCAAAGGGGGAAAACCTGTCCCTGCGCCTCTCAGGGATGTGCCGGACGGGAGGAGCTTTCCTGGCGGGATTGAACTCAGCTGGTTCCCTGCTCCCTCCCTTTGCCTTCGCTCATGTCCTCCCTTCTCTTTGTTTCTCGCTTCGCAGCCCTCGGAATCTCTCCGCCTGCTCGGAAGTGCCCCCTAGGCTGGCTGTCCCCGCACTGATGCACTTTATCCTCGCACATAGCCCTGTGTTTTGAGGGAAGCTCGGCCCCTTCCACCCACACCCCCCCCTCGCACCCTCCCTCTCG